ACTGAAACTTTTCCAAGCGAATGTTCAAAAATGTGTTGTTTAAGATATATCAGTCTTTACTGTTTATGTATGATAATGGCATTAAAAGCTACATACAGTCAAAGTCATCGCTCTGTTCTGTATCTCATCGCAGCTACAGCTGCCCACCGTGTGGAAAGAATCCCAATTTGCAGTTTTAAAATTAGATCCTGCTTTAACGCTGCTCACGCCAGCTGATGAATGATCTTCATCTTCATTAGTCTTCATTCTAATAAGCTCTACTTCCTAGACACACTAAGCTACTATTAGCCAAACTGTTACTGTAAACACTTGCCGTGTGATTAACTAAAACTAGCACGCAAAAGTTTGCGTGTCCACAAAAGCAAAGTCAAGTTTAACAACAACAATGGTGGAAAAAGTGGTCTTTGAATTTTTGAAGCCTGCAGGAAATTTAAATGACGTCTAAGCCGTTGTGAAAGATCTTTGTCACAAAGGGAAGCTGCTCTGGGATGCAGCTGAAAAACCCTTTCAGTCAGCAATGAGGGGTTGATTTTGTGCTTCGAATTGAGCAATTGGCAGTCAAATTGTCATTTGTGGATATTGACTGAATGCGTCGCTCCTCTCTGGGGAGAGAGACTCACTCATTTTGCATCTAAATTTGTTTACCAACTAAAAAGCAATCACATCATTAAAACATGAATCCTGTGATACATTATATATGATGAAAGGCGGTGAAACACAATCCTTCCTACGAGCTGAGGATTGTTTCCCTCAGTACTTACGAGCAAAAACACGAACAGGTGACAAATTAATGGGAATAAAAACACAAGCTATGTCGGTGCTTGGTGGTTTGACAGACGCTCGAAATCTCCCAGGTATTCAGATATCCGATGCGTGATAATCTTCACCGTCATCAGAGCATTCAATGGGGCCTCATGTCCTATCATCCCGGGAGAAACCATTCCACTCAGGACAGAATAATTTGTGTATATAATAATTTAACTCGCATTGACTGTTCTGTCTAAGCGGCCAAGAGAACCCAAACCACAGCAGCAAAATGCTCCCACTGAATAACACAACCACCAGATCCCCTCACTGTTGGTGTCAAGGGTTTAATCTTTCACCCACGTGGACTAGAGACGTTCCTTTTGTCCACAGAGCTATTGCGTCAACAGCAATCTCAAACTGCCAGTCGCGTTGCTCGGTAACTAAACCAGACTTTAAATACAACAGCAATGATTTGGACTTCTTTAAGTTACTTGAAGACGTGAACTCACCTGAAACTCTGGCTGATTGGGACCCACACCCAGTTTCACACCTTGACTCAGGCGATTAGAGGATCATCAGGGGGTCCTTTTGTCCCTCTGTGGGGGGAAACTCCCACTAGGTTTAAATCTGGGACTCTCCACCATTTGACCTTAGAACTGAAGAAGCTTCTCGGATGAGAGGTGAAACGTCTTCAAGCAACTTAAAGAAGTCCAGACGCTTTTCTTTGCAAGCTCCTTTGACTACGATGACCTGGATGACTGAGAACCTTCACAGACAACAGCAATGATTGGCTCTTTGTGCTGTGCACATACAAAGTCAGGTTAGTCCTCCCTTGCAGGTTTGCATTGCCTGTTTACAACGTTCTGTTACAAATACAGACGAGAACATTGCTGCAACAGAGACAATATGTCAAAGAGGGAAAAACCTGAACGAAGGTCTAGTGACGGCCTGCAAGAGTCTACTTGTCACACACGTGCCTAGTCTATATTTTGGCATTTGATGACTGATATCATAAAAGGGATTATTTCCAAGTTTCAAAGTTTGTACTAGCTAATAATAATCCAACAACCTATGAGGCGAGAAGCCTTTACACTCCCCTCCCATCTCCAACTCAAAATCCCATAACTGCTATTAGCTTCTGGTAGACTCATCCAAACACCATTAGCAGCCATCCACTATAAGTTTTCATTGCCTATAAAACCATTGTTACTGCTGAGAAGCTGCAGTGCTGGTCTGCTCTGCTTTATAGCTGCTGCTGCAGATGCTTACACTGTCCTTACCTCTGCTTTAAGAGGCAGCACACGTCCTTGAAACGCTTGTTTTGTGCTGGCAAACAGATGTGTCCTTGGTCAGCGTGAGCCTAATATACGATATAAGGGTACACAACACAGGACACAGACAGGATACCTTCACACTGATATTCATGGTGCTATTATACCTAACCTTGTGCAATGTAAGATGCTCCACAAAGAACTCCAGTAAAACACACACCACGTTATAGTTAGTCCTCATTTTTGGTGTTATAATTCACCCACACATGTCTTGAGTTTCATGCAGTCTCTCTTCTTTCTTTCTCTGCTTTCTGCTGTTTCTTGCAATCAGCAGTAGAGCTGAGTTTGTCATTAAAGGGTTAAAGGCAGGATAGAGCATGCAGAGAACAGCCAGCAACTGCAAGCAATTAGCTGAGCTATTCTCACACAATCTGATATTACATGAACTTCATGCGCAGTAGCTGGCAGGTTAAAAACAATTTGATGTCCAATTGTGCTGAAACGTGCACTCTCAAATGATGCTCAGTGAGGTCATTTGTGTGAACGATCAGGCTGCTGCACAGGTGTGAAAATGCTGCACATTATTATTATGTGGTGCCTACTCGAACTGAACCGGAACAGAGCACTGTGCTAATGCTGTGTTTATATCACAGGCAAAATGTGAAAAAGGTTTGCAGGTCTAGAGATGAATACAAACTCATGGCTTTAATGCTCTGTCATTTTACTCTCCACTCAAAAGACCACTCACCCCCAATCCAAAGCACAAATGTCGCACACAGTTTACACTCTGAGTGCAACAGCAGGGCGCAGTCTGTACTCAGGGAGTGTAAACTGTAGTTGGGCTGAAGTTGGTTTGATTGGTTTGACACCAGATTCTTACTGGCCCAAAAGATTTTTCCATTCATGGCATAAAATCCTTTCTCTTTTTTTTTGTTTGCAGACTTTAAATCATTCAGTTCGTGATTTAAAGTCTGCAATGTTTATGGGGAACTTGATTTGTACCCTTAGGGTGTGCTTTAAGGTGGGCCTGCCTCATTATGAGGATGTAGGGTTTCCCTCGGGTCTCACTTATGTCCGAACCTCACTCACTGGTGAAAACTCCAAGACTGCACCATCGAAGTAGCTCAACATGAGGCACCGCGATGGGACTGAAGTAAAGGTTGATATCATCTTAGTGGCTTTTATCTGCTTACAGGTAAAAAGCTCAATCAGCGCTTCCCGTGCTAACAAACCCAACAACCTGTCTGTAACCGCTAACACGCTGTACCTGTTGTATGACCAGTTTCATGTTTTATACAACTTCAAACACTCATCAAGTCACTTTATATGTCTCAGTTTCTATCAAGATACAAAACTCTCCCCTAAG